TGTGTTCCACTTTGCAGACGAGGAAGCAAAGAGAGGAGGAGCAGCTTAGTGTTGATTCCTCCGCCTGGGAGAAAAGTTAGTTCCACGGCCTGGTTTCCTGCCTCCAAAGCCCGTGTCCCTTCCAGAAGATTGCTCCTTAAATAGTTTCTCGCCCAACCCACGACAGACCTTCAACCTCCAGCTGACTCACTGCTGGCATGGTCCAGGGCGTCCTCCTTGCATCCTTCACGCATCTGCTGAGTGTTTATTGGGGGCCCACTACCGGCCAGGCCTTGGGCAGGGCACGGAGGAGGACGTGAAGACTCTGCGCCTGGCCTTGAGGGCACCGCTGGCTGGTAGCGGGGGTAAGGACAGCCCGACAGTGGGCAGGAAGACAGCGACAGGCAGCTCTCAAACGGCGTGCTGGGACTGGCACGGGGCCAGGGTCTGGCCAGCGGAGTGACTCCGGTGTAGGGCCCGCCAGGACCCATGCACACGTGGGTGGCAGTCACCTCTCAGCAGCCACGTCACCCGAGGGGCTCACACACAAGAACGACTAGCAAACTTCCTTCTGAACCTACGGAGTTGGTGGTTTTGTTCACCCGAGAGCGGGGCACCGCCTTCGGCCCTCAGACCTCATCTCGTCCGTTTTGCCCCGTTGACCCAAACTCCCGAAATCCCCACAATCCAGGTCCCAGCGCTCAAAGCGCAGTAGTCCCCCTCGGCTTTGCGCTGCCCAGAAATGTGACCAGTGCCCCTGGGCGTCTTCACGGAGGTCACTGACAGACCCGTGGGCCAGGGCGAGGCCCGCCCACAGCCCCGGGGCCACCGACGGCGGTCTCAATCCGGCCGTGCCACTCGGTGTGGGTCCACGGGAACAACAGACTGGTGTCCTCTGGGTGGTTATGCAGCCAGCCGCGAGCCCCTCCGATGCTCCCTGCACCCCAGCGGCACCTCCCCATCCTGCGTCACCTACCTCCCCATCCTGCGTCACAAGATGCCAAGGGATGTGGTCAAATAAACACCATCCCTCAAAGGCGGTCCCACGGGCGAGGGACATGAAACGCCCTTTCTGCTTCTGTTCGGGAGTGCGAATTAATTGGAGCTGCCTCGAAAGAGTTGTCTGGCACTGTTCCAGACAGAAAAGGAGTCAAGGCCAGAGTTCTAGCTCGGCGACTGCCTCCCACCGGGGCCGGGGCCGGGGCCGGGGCCGGGCTTAGAAGCACGAAGCTGGGCGGGTTGAGGGAAGGAGGGAGGGCGACCTCCTGCCATCAGTTTTAATTACCCTCAACTGGAAAAACGGGTGTCCATGCTGGCCGGCCGGCCCGCGCCATAAAGCACCGAGATCAGAAGTGCAGCCGCGTAGTGCACCTGCTGGAGGCTGGACCGGGGAGTCCGCGGGGACCTGACGAGTGATGGAAGTCGTAAAGCGGCCCTGAGGCTCCACGCGGGCTAATGCGTCTCCGGGGACGCCTTCAGTCCCTTTAAACATTCAATTACGGCTCTGCAAACACAGATTGAAAGCGAGCAGCGACCGATGGCCACACGAGGGATGCCGGGGAGGCAAACTCGCAGATTCCCTGGGACGGCCGTTGCTGATGCAGGCGCAGCCCTGCTCCCCGAAACGCTGGCTGACAGGAAGAGTTTCTGAGCAGGTCGCTGAGCTCTGGATTCTGACTCTTAAGATTTAACGCACAGAGACCACCTCTCTCTCGGCTGTGATTTCTAAGCAGGTTTTTCACGAAAACAGATTTCTGGACATTTCAAGGCCCGGCCGTCAGATGTGGGGGGAGCTTCTCAGCCCTTTGACAGATGCCCGAGGCCCCCCTGTGACCCAGCACTTCCCGTCTGTGGGTAACAGACACTTCAATGTTCTTTCCAACAACTTCCCGGTTTCTGCAGCAGCCTTTCCCCCCTTCAGGACAGAAAGTTCTCCTAATTCGAATAGTAAGAATTTCTTGTTGTAAAAACATGAAGACAATCGAGAATGCAAAGGTCTTCCATAGTCTTGCTACTCAGAGACAGATGCACGCACGGGAAATTTAAAAATAAGACCCGAAGGCCCTGGCAACTGTTACGACGCAGCAGGTAGTTTATAACAGTAAAGTTCTCTGTCGTCACTCTTAATCTCTGTGCCGTACTGTTTCACAGCTGACTCGAAATCTACTCATTCAGTCTCCCACTGACGTATTTTTACTTTATTTTTTAAAGATTGCATTTATTTCATTTTAGAGAGAAGGGAAGGAGGGAGAGAGGGAGAGAAACACCAATGTGCAAGAGCAACATCGATTGGCTGCCTCTTGCATGTGCCCCCCACCCCAGCCCGGAACCTGGCCCATCGCTGAGGCAGGTGCCCTGACCAGGGATTGAACCGGCAACATTTCCGTTTGTGGGACCATGCCGAACCCACTGAGCCACACAAGCCAGGGCCTGCTGATGTACTTTTAGGTAAAACATTCTGCAGCGGGCATCCTGGCACACAGGGCTGCCAACCAGGGCCCCAAGCCGCTGACTTCTGCGGGCGCAGGCGCTCGGCTGCGTTGTCTGTGACGCGCTGAACAGCGCTCTCTTGCACCTTTCCCTTTGGGTGCCCGGGGCTCCGTTTGGGTAGGTCCCTAGTTGGATGTGTTTGGCCAAAGTCTGTGCAGATTAAAACTTCTCTTTCATACCAGATAATTGATGACCTTTTGTGTCAGCCAGCCATAACAGCTAGTAGCAAATGAAGCTTTTACTCTGTCTATTAAACTGTAGACTTTTTTGGTATTCGTTGTGTCAAAAGGGAAGTCCACAGAAAAGACGGGTTACCTTTTACCAAAAAATCTTATGCGAGAGTATTTTGGGGACTGCATTATTATTAGAACAGGGACATGGGCATGCTCGAATTATGACAGTGTTATTTTTTCAGCACGTGGCCTCTGGCATTGGTATAAGTGGTGCAATTATGGTTCAGCTCCAGAACGTCATAACAACACACTGAACACCCTCCTCGTGTTTGCTACAATGTAGGTTGACAGTGAGGTTGGGAAGAGAGAAATAAGTCAAGAAAGAGTTTTATGCTTTTTGCTGTTCTAATTTTGAGATTATTTTGTGAAAGGCCCAGGATTGGACATGAGCAAGTTAAGGCACCTTTTAAAACACTTCTATGTAAACCGGGCAGCGCGGCAGCCAGCCTGCCCTAGTCCTCCCGCCCTGATGTGGAGGTCAGTGAGTTTCCGAGGGAACCACGAACAGGGTGTGTAAGCCGTTTTACAGACTCTGAGAACCAGATGGGCTCCAGGAAGGGCATTTTTATATGAAAACACGTGTCTGTGGCAAAGGTAAATGAAGACGTGGGGTACCAAGTTCCACGCAGACTGCGGCCTCAGCTAGGAAGACTCAAGGTGCAAACACAACTCATGAAAAGGTCTGCATGGACACGCACCAAAATATTAACTGGATAGTGTTTGGTAGTAGTATTTTTTTTTATTGGCTCTTTGTTCTTTTCCTTCTTACAGCACTGCACATGAATTCCTTTCTAGAAAAAACAAATTAACTTACGGTTTTAGTAAGTCTATTTCCGTTCCTCTGCCTGCAGCCGTGACACGGCCTGAGGGTCCAGGATGGGTCCCATTATGCCGTTGAGTTTACCGCGTCCCGCCCCCCCCACCCACAGCCCCCACAAAGGAAAGGCACTTCCCACGTCCACAGCCGACCCTAATGCCCATCGGGGACTCGCGCCACCACCGAGGGCCTGATCTTCTTTCGACCTTTCAGAGAACACCTAGTTTTGTTCAGCGAGACAGTTTCAAAACCACATACAAACAGCAACGTACGCAAGTTCAGGTGCCCCACAACGTTCTTAAGGGGAACAAAGAGCACGAAGGTGTTGACCGTGCCACGAGAGACGTGCGTAAGGCGACGTGCAGGCTTCCGGTCGGCCCCCTGACTACCCAGGCTGTGTGTCCGAAGCTCTGTTTCAAGATCATCGAGGCCCAAGGAGAGCCGAGAACACACAGTTCCCTGCTCACAGAAGCCCAGCGGTGAGGGGCAAACGCGCAAGAAATACAGAGGCAGAGCGTTGTGACCGGGTAGCTCGGGTAGAACTCATTCCAGTGAAGCTGTCATTTCCGGGGGAAAAATAAAGAAAGGAAGGAAAAACCAATAGAAACCCGGGCAGTCCACTGCTGGGTGAGGGGTGGGAAGGAGCAGGCACCTTGGAAGAGAGAAGGAGGCGGCCCCGGGGGCCCGAGGCGCAGCGTTAGGAGCAGACTGCCTGTCGGGAGCGCGCCCTTGTTTCCCGAGGCCGATCGGACAGGACAGCGAGGGTCCCTGCGAGGGGAGGGCCCCCGGGGACAGCTGCACCGTGCGAAGGAGCCCACGAACAGGGGCTGTTTCTACCCGCGCCCCGAGGCAGACAGAGTTCGACTGGGAAGGCGCCCGCGGGATGTAACAATATCCATGTGCCCCAGAAAAGAAGAAAATACCATTTTCTGGGAATTCATATAATTTTGTAAAAAAAAAAGGGGGGGCCACATTTTTAAATAAAATGATGAAATAAATACTTTATGCCACTGGAGACAAACTTGGAAAGATAAAATAAACTCTTGGTGCTTCTCAGGGAAGAAGAATTTCTCCCCTTTGGAAGCCGGTTTTCCTTCCATAACCCGGGAACTGCAGAAACCCAGCTAGCGACGGACACTGGTGTTCTGTTTGAATGGAACAGGCGGTGCTCAAGTGCTGGTCTTCAAGCCCCGGGCTCTGAGAACCAGAGCCGTGAGAAGGAGCTGCCAGTTACCAAGTTCTTTTTCACAATGGCGGAATTCGTCATCCTCCCACCGGCTCCCCGTCTGAGGCTAATTCCAGCCTGCGGCTCGGATCGGGACTAGGGACCCACGTCCCGAGTCCCAGTTCCCCGAACGGCAACGCCAGTCACGCGGCGACGCCAGTCACGCGGCGACGCCAGTCACGCGGCACCCGCTGCTCAGCCCGCACCCCCTTCGCTTCCCCCCGTCGTGCAGCCAGCAACAAGCAGCGTGACTCACTCGTTTCTCTCCAGGTTTACGATCAGCTCCTTGCTTTCCAGCCGCATTCGAAAGCTCAGCACTTCTGGATGATGCTGAAAAGTAAACAAGAAGAGTCAGTGGAAAAACATTTCGCTTTGACTTGCCAATATTTCAATCTGCTCCACAGGCAGGCGCGGTGGAGGGAGGGAACAGTCACTTCCTTGCGAGGACCATTTCGAAACCCAAGCGGAGGAGACCGGGCGACCAGGACAAGTCTGGACAACGTGTCCCTCCCCCCGCCCCCGCCCCCCGGAGGCACGGCCGTGGCCTGCGTTCCTGGCCTTGGCACTCCCGTTCACTGGCCGCACACCCTCGGGGTGTACGCCCTTCTGGGCCCTGGCCTCCTTGCCACAATCAGCACCTTCCTCAGTTTCTCCGTCTCTACGAAGGCCAGACATGTGGGGTCCTTCTGGAAGCTTCCTGTTCCCTCACCAGCTGCGTCTAATCCATCCAAAGGTCCTGTTGCTTGGCCCCCCAAAACACAACTCCCGTTGTCCCGGGACCCCACCCCCACCGCACTCCAGCCAGACCCCAGTCACCTCTCACCGGGGCCGTGCAAACCCCTTCGAACACGGGTCCGTCCCACCTGCCTGGGCTGTGTCCCCCCGCTGTCTCCGAAGGCAGCAGAAGGGTGTCTTCAGAAGCACAACCCCGCCCACCCAGCCCCGCGGACTCGGCGCCCGCACCCCCCCACCCCCCACGTATTCCGCCAAGGCCCTCCGCTTCCTCCCGTCCGTGCCCCCTCCGCGATCCTGCAGCAGGACACCCCGAGCTACCCGTCCCTCATCCGAGCCAACCTATCTCAAGAGGGGTTCTACGCATCCAGGGGCACTTCTCGCGCACAGAGTCAACACTGTGCGATGTTTATTCTTAAACACGAGCGCTGCGTTTTCGTTCTGATGGCGTGCGAAGGCCGGGTTGGGGAGGGAGGCTGGAGGGATGCCCGGTGGCCCAGGCGGATGGGGGAAGGGCGGGGGACAGCGGGCGGGTGAGCTCCCAGAGGACGCAGGCAGCCTAAGGGCGGGCCCCAGGGTCCCTGGGGCTTCGGAAGAGCGCAGCTGGGGACAGTGTGACACCAGGAGCTCAGAGCGCTCCGCCCCGACGCCGGCCCTGCCTCAGTGCCGCTGCGGGAGGGGTCTCAGCCTCCGTCCGTCCCACAGCACCACCCCCCACCCATGTCCGTGCTGCCAGCCTCGGCCGGACTGGCTTCGCGGGCCTTCGCTTGGCCAGTTTACACGAAGTCCCCTATCATTCCCCGTTTGACAGTCACTCCGGAGTTCCAGAGACTTTTCTGGCAACACAGCATTTCAGCTACACTGGGTTAGCTGGCCACACGTTGCTGTGTTGTAAGAGAAAATGAAGGGGAAAAAAAGAGAGAAAACAGGTTGTAAATTCCAGTATCCAACATCAACATAGTTAGTTAAAATGAAACAGAATTTAAACAAAAACCACCGTGGAAGGTCACTTGAGTTCTGAGAAAATGCTCAAACCCGAATTAACTCGTGTCACTAATTAACTAATTAAGTAGCGGGGTAGACTCGATCGTCGAGGGCGAAGTGCTCACTCACTTTATTTTCAGGGCAGCTTTTGACATCTTTTGGTAGTTTCCCATGTTTGATGCGGTAGCCACAGTTGGGCTATTTACATTGGAATTAATTAGAATAAAGTGAAACTGTTTCATCCGTCGCCCCAGGCACATTTCAAGGAGCAGCAGCAGCAGCAGCGCGTGGCTACGCCGCAGCCAGAGAGGCTGCAGGAAGTTCCGTCCGCGCCGGACACCGCCGCGTCAGCAGTCAGGGCCTCACGCCACCCTCCTCCGGCTGCCCCGAGTGACACACTGTTTCTGGTATCAGTGGCTTCAGGGCACAAACTTAGGTGCAAACTCAGTGGGTTGCATGTGTGTGTGTGCTCTTTCAGAAGGTACTTCTCAATTTTAATAGATGGATGATTTTTTAAAGATTTTATTTATTTATTTTTAGAGAGGGAAGGAAGGGAGAGAGAAAGAGAGAGAAACATTAATGTGCGGTTGCTGGGGGCCGTGGCCTGCAACCCAGGCATGTACCCTGACTGGGAATTGAACCTGTGATACTTTGGTTCGCAGCCCGTGCTCAACCCACTGAGCTACGCCAGCCAGGGCGGATGATTTTTTTTTTAAAGTAATTACTTAAGCTTCAGAGTGAAACTGGTGAATTCCCACATACATGTGAGGTTTGTGCATGTTTTCTTGGTCCAAACAGATCTCGTTTTCTATGGATTTATCCCAGCAAATGACTACGCAGCCGTGACCTGGTGAAAACCACGCTTCTTAGGCGACATATGTTGACATCTGTTGCTTATAAGAATTGTATGCATTTCTGAGTGGTTGCTGGACATTCAAGATCAATGTTACTATGCCTACCCTATGCAACATTAAACATACTGCTTCTTTCGATTTCAATATAGTGGGCAAAAGTATTTCTAGGACACGTATATTTGGTTTTCAGTCTGTCACACGGACTTTTGCCTAAATTGGTCTCCTATTTTCTGACACTTGGATTTCATTGCAAACACACAGAACATTCTCTCCAGGGCTTGCAATTTGTACTCACTGATTATATCTTAGAGAAACAAGATGTTAATTGTGGTTACAACGAAATATTAGAACAAAAGCACCTGTCATGATTCTGTCAAGAGATGCCTCGTGCATTGACGCATATTTATAATCTCCCTTCCCGCCGCTGTGTAAATAACTTAATTGCAAATTGTGTGTGTCTAAGGTATTGACACACATCACTATTTAAAAGAGAAATCCTGGCCATTGTGTTTGTGAATAAAAATGTGTACAGTAACCATCTATTTACTCTCCCAAAGACGTGAGTGGTTTACCCAGGGATGTTTGGACTAATTCTACACGAAGTCCCTACAGGGGCTGGTCTAACATTCTAAAGTCAACATCTTCAAACAAACACATCCCCCCGCCGCGGAGGCGAAAAGACCGCTCTCTGCATATTTTAGCTGAGATCTGATCGGTAGGGAAGAAATCAGTGGAGAAGAAGAACAGAGTGCTCGTTCAGCTCAAAGGCAATCTATTGCATTAGATTTCTTAGTTTAAAAGCATGCGTTCCTTCCATTTTCTTTTGATTTTTATACGTTGGAGGTAATGAACCACCGCTGGTTAAACACAGCAATCCTTTTCTTAAAAATGATGCATTGATTACCCTCCGGGAACTGTGCCTTTCATCGAATGCCTAAAGAACTCCATTTGCTGAGTAAACCAATTGAACACTAATCAATACACTGGAAGTGTTTGGGCAGTCATAATTCTGTTTTTCTAACTGGGAAAAATACATTCAAAGAGCATATAAAATGTGTAAGCACAATTTAAAAAAAAACAACAACGATAAAATAGTCATCCATAAAACCCCCCAGCTGAGAACCACAGTGTATAACCAGCACCTCAGAAGGCTCTGTCTTAGCTGGCTTGGGCAGCCAGAGCACAACGCCGTAGACAGGGGGCTTAACCACGGCCATTCATCTTCTCCCAGTTCTGGAAGCGAGAGGTCCAAAATCAAGCTCTGTTTCCTTGTGCGGTCTCTCTCCCTGGTCTGCAAGCCCCTCCCACAAGTGAGTCTGCGCAGGCTCCCCAGGGCATTTGCCCAGACAGGTCTGCAAGTTCAGGCTCTGGCCGGGGCGCCGCTGCCCGACGCTCGGACCCTCAGTGGCCCTGTGCTCTCTCTGAGGTCTCCCACGGGCCCACAGGCCCACGGGCCCCCGGGCCAGCGCACTCTACACAACTGGCGGTAGAAGCAGATGGTTCAAAAACAACTGCTCAGCTCGTCGTGTTTCCTTCTCAGGGTTATCCGTGTTGGCCTGCCTGCTTTAATTCGTGCCACTGGGAGCTTCCCCTGAACCTGAATTTAAATTATTGCACCCTTCATGGGGAAGCATATCGCCAGTCAATAAATGCAGCTTTCTGCCCTGGCTGGTGTGGCTCAGGGGATTGAGTGCTGGCCTGTGAACTGAAAGGTCGCAGGTTCGATTCCCGGTCAGGGCCCATGCCTGGGTTGCAGGCCAGGTCCCCAGGTGGGCAAATGTGAGAGGCAACCGATCCATGTATCTCTCTCACAGTGATGTCTCTCTCTCTCTTTCTCTCTCCCTTCCCTTCTCTTGAATACATACATACATACATACATACATACATACAACAGGTGATTCGGGGATGCTTACAGCTTGTTCCCCTCTGGTGAATGAAATGATACACAGCATCCTCTTCTTGGTGTTCCCATGTCCTTCAAGAAGAACCAATTCTCAATGACCTAGGAAAATCTGAACCTGGCCTTGGGGTTGAACTAAGGTGGCAGTGAGTCAGCAACAAGAGGTAATTAAACTCTGGGGTCAACAGCCAGGTTCACTGCCACCACAGCTTCGAGGTTATGACGGTCGATTCTAGGCCAGAGTCATCCATCTCGGCCCTCAATGCTGGGAGCTTTCGGGGATCTAGTTTTTCAAGCAGAACACTACGAAAAGACTGCATCCGTGGGACTCTGAAACAGCTCGATCCCGGCCTGGCACTAAATAAACGCCGGAGACCGTGGCGCCGGCATTCACGGGGCGCGAGGGAGTCGTTTATTGCGATGGATATTTAGGGGCAATGCCGATGACCACTTTAGCATTAGTGGGCTCGCTTCCCAGCCAGGAGGCGGTGCTCACTGCGGTGCGGGAGAGGACAGAAGTGATGTAACTGCAGAGGAACTAACTCAGTGAGGAAGGAGGCTCCGTGGCACGGTGATGGAGTGTCCCCCGCCCGGGGCCTTTAAGTCACCCCACGCAGGCCGATGACGTTTAGTCACGAGTTGTCGATCAATTCTTCTGATGGAAAGCGGCGTGGGCACACACCTCGGGAGACTGCACAGAAGGGCGCATGCGCACCTTGGGCGAAGGCCGCCTCTGAAACACACGCGTTGTGGCTCTCACGGTGGACACGGCGGCCTGAAGCTGGTCTGCGCTGCTGACGCAACGTGCTAAGGGGTTGTTGCTGAAATCGGCCTCCCCGGGCACAGGGCTGACACCGGAC